TACACTGCATTTGCCGACTAGCTAAAGAGAACAATATCGTCTGCAAATGTTAGATTGTGTAAGTATTCGTCCCTTATTTTGATACCCTTTCTGTTCCATTAAATTTTCTTTAACATTTCTCCAAGGCAAGTTGTAAACAGTTTTGTTGAGATGGCGTCACCATGCTTAACACCTGTTTTAATTATTATCATTATTATTATTGTTATCATCATCAGTATTACCATCATCACTATTGCTGTCCCATCTTCGTATAATTCTTCTAATATATTACAAAAGACTTCCTTTATTCCGTGTCTTCGAATAGTCTCTGATACTGTAGTCCTTTGTAAAGAATGAAAATTAATTTCCTAATCGATGAATGTCATACACAGGAGTTTCCTATATTTATATATTTCTCTTATTTATATTTATTTTTTCTCTTATTTATATTTATTTTTTCTCTTATTTATATTCATTTTTCTCTTATTTATATATATTTTTTCTCTTATCTATATGTATTTTTTCTCTTATTATATTTTTTTTCTCTTGTTTATATTTATTTTTCTCTTATTTATATCTATTTTTTCTCTTATTTATATTTTTTTCTCTTACTTTTATTGATTTTTCTCTCATCTATATCGATATTCATCTTATTTATACTTATTTTTCTCTTATTTACATTTATTTTCTCTCTTATTTCTCTCATTCTCCCTTTCTATATATTTATTTTTTCTCTTATTTGGGTTGGTGTGTGGATGTGGTCTGCTGTTGAGAATCCGCTGCGGAAGCTCACCTGTTCTCTAGACTGGTTAGAATCTAGAATGTCAGTGATGACTTTTGTGAGCTCTTGGTAGGTTTTGTAGATCTTTTCCATCATTATTAGGATTATCATTATTGTAATTAGTAATATCATTATCATTATTGTAATTAGTAATATCATTATCATTATTGTTAATTATCGTAGATATGATGATTATAATTATTACCATTTTTATTATATTATTATTGTTACCATTATTATTATTATGATTATTATTATTATCATTTTTTTATTATCATTAGCGTTATTATTATTATCATTATTATTATTACCATCATCATCATATCTTTATTATTATCATTATTTTCATTATTATTATCATCATCATTATTACTATCAAAAATAGTATTTTTTTATTATCATCATCAATCATCATTATTATCATCATTAGCATCATTATGATTATCTTTATCATTATCATTACCATCGCTGTTATTATTATTATAATCATCATTATCATAATTATCATTATTATCATAACAATTATTATTATTATCATTATCATTAATGTTATTATTATTATGATTGCTATTTTTACATTATTACTATTACCATAATTATTATCATTATTATTTTTTCATTATTATTGTCAATATCACTGTTACTATCAATATCATTATCATAATTAAAACAATAAAAAAAACTACAACAGTGATTATTCTGGCAGCTCGCGATATCACGCATTTTAAATTTCGGCTCGCCTGTCTACACTTGACGATTTTTAAATTCAGTTGCATCATTTTAACTACTATCCGAATTGTTAATAGAATTACTATATTTATGGCAACGAAATCGAAAATTAAATGAAAAGGACTAGGATATTGAACCTTAGTGCTGTTTTTTTTTCGTATGAGTTTGTTCCTTTCCCTTCTGCGGTGTACTTTCATTTCGACACTGATCGCTATCAAGATTTATTAACATTATCAATATTTATATGACACATAGCATTTATATCAACATTAATATTATATATCAATATTTATATAACATATATGGTCGCTATCAACATTTACTTTGTTGGAAACTTCCACGTCTTTTACTATATCGCGTATGTTTGAAGTTATGAAAATCGATTTCGTTTTTCATGTCAGATGGCGAATTTTTTTTGTCCACTTCCGTTCTACATTTTTTTTCGAAAAATATATGTTCATGCTATTGAGAGATCAAACCTTAGCAAAATCGATCAGCATTTGTCCCCTCTCTTTCCTGGTGCCTATTCCATGATTTCTTACTACGGTTTCTCCTTCTATCTTTTTACCTATTTTGGAATTAAAATTGTGTAATGGTGTTTTGTTCTGTCGCTGGTTAAATGAACATCTTCATAGATCTCTATTTCTTCATCCATATGGTTGCAGGTTGGGGCATAGACGTACGTCGTGTTAATTTTTAATGTTACGGAAGTCACTCTTTCGCTTTACTAAGCGTTTGTATTACCCATATATATATATATATATATATATATATATATATATATATATATATATATATATATATATATATATTATGTATATTGTATTTATTGTATGTGATAATTCATAAACTCGCATTAAAAGTGTTTTAAAAATTTTCCTTAAATTTTTGACATTGTGTGTATCAGGTTTATAGACACACCAACAAACATACCAGACCAGCCTCTTCGACCTGCTGTTGCTGAGCACCCACCTATCATCTGGGTAACTATGAGAGCACCCCTTTAATTTTATGGCTTTGGAATTAAGATTTTAGCCGCTGTGAAAGAGCACTGCTATCAAAGAGCGCGGTGGTGCTCAAGAGCGCCAGGTTGGAAACTTCTGGTCCGGATCAAGGTCACATAGACACACGCACACATACACCATGAATAAATTAATGTATATATATATATATACATACATACATACATATATATATATATATATATATATATATATATATATATATATATATATATATATATTATGTATATATATACAACACACACACACACACACACACACACACACACCACACACACACACACACACATATATATATATATATATATATATATATATATATATATAATATACGCAAATGTATATATATGTGAGTGTTTGTGTATACACACACACACACACACACACAACACACACACACACACACACAACACACACAACACACACACACACACACACATATATATATATATATATATAATATATATATATATATATATATGTGTGTGTGTGTGTGTGTGTGTGTGTGTGTGTGTGTGTGTGTGTGTGTGTGTGTGTGTGTGTGTGTGTGTGTGTGTGTGTGTGTCTGTGTGTATCTGTGTGTGTTGTGTGTGTGTCTGTGTGTGTGTGTGTGTGTGTGTGGACACAAAAAATATACACACATATGGGTGTGTAAACGCAAATGTTCGTGTTTATATAATTTTACTCATTATTCTTTTTCACTGATAACGCAAATTTTAGAATGAAGAAATAGAAACGAATCACAGCCCGTACCAACGTCGTCATCATCATTATCTTACATTTGGTTCAGAGTCTTCCAAAAGATTAATAAAAGACTTAATAATAATTCTAAGAATATACTTGTCGTCATCTGTCTTCTTAAATCCTTCATGACCAACGTCTTTCAAAATAGTATTTCCATAATTTGTTAACAGGAAATTCCTCTCCGCAGTCTTAAAAGATAAGAAGTGGCGACGCGTGCAACATACCTAATAAACATTAAATCTCTGTTCGCTGATTCATTTGCAATTTAAACTACGCAGAAAATTCATATTTGAAGTAAAAGATAGATAAAGAGATAATTATGCATTCTTAAGTTCCTCATACACAAGGCGATGGTAAACAAGCAAAGAGAGAGATGTGATTTTGAGTGAATATTATTTTTATCTATCTACCTACATATATGTACATCACACACACACACATATGATACACACACACACACACACACACACACACACACACACACACACATATATATATATTATATATTATATATATATATATATATATATATATATATATATATTCAGTCTGTGTATGTGTGTTGGTGGGGTGAGAATAGGTGTGTGTGTGTGTGTATGTGTGTGTGCGTGGTGTGTGTGTGTGTGTGTGTGTGTGTGTGTGTGTGTGTGTGTGTGTGTGTGTGTGTGTGTGTGTGTGTGTGTGTGTGTGTGTGTGTGTGATAATTATAATATAACTGCGATTTTTCTTCAACAGAAAAAAATAGAATATACTGTTTGTACGTTCCACAGTTTTACAAATTTTTCTGATTTAGAAATTTTCTGTTATCCAGGATTCTTTTCTTTCATATTCATCAATATTTTAACGTCCGTTCTTCCTCATTTGTGTTTATCTTATCAATGAGAAAACATCAAAAGCTTAATTCACAATAACCTTAGGTGTGAAAATAGCTTTATCTGTGATTAGCAAGATTAACCTCTCACATCTGTACGTATTGGCTAATATGAGAAAAACTACTTATTTGGCAAAATAAAACCGAGCTCCAGGGTCTTTAATTCGATTCTGTTGGCCGGTTTTAACAGAGTAGACGAGCTGTTACATATTAGCTCTTTCTGATCACATCTTTGAGGCCTTCTTGTGGCCAGAGATGTGGCAAGTCTAATCTGGTCTCGTGAACTTTCTATAACACATAAAACGTGTAAAAACAGGCTATAGTTGTAATAGTTTTCGTGAACTAGAACAGACTCATAATTCTCTAAAATCATTGTATTGTTAAATGATATACTACACTGAAGAAGTAATGTTATTAATTAACGGCATTTCTAAGACTTGCATATGGTTTAAATGCATCATATTCCTTGTAAAGGTCGTCAAATCCTGGTAATATAATTCATACTAGTTTGGTATTTTTTTCTCAATTATTTCTCTCAAACTATGTATAATATCATATCTTTTGTTATTCTTCTTTGGTACTATACCAGTGAAATTTGTTGTATCTTATCAGCTATATTTGGTAATATAAACTAATTCAGTTCAATTTCCATATATTTCTTTCATATTTTCCATTTCTTTTTCACTGAATTAAACAAGGAATTATACATATCTAGTCAAATATATCAAAAAACTTAAATCAGGAAGAAAATTAACTTTATAAAAAAAAGTAAACGTTTTTTTTTATTCATACATTGAAAAAAAATCCAAGAAATGATAATACATAAACAAAAAACAAAAGAATCTCTGAGGAAACGTCTAAAATAAAACACACATTTATAAGAACACGTATATTTGTATGAATAGAACTCACACCATGGTATAAACGACCGCCCTTAGCGCGTGCTCTGCTACAACACTGGCGAAAGAAAGCGATGCTACTGGATGGAAGTCCGACGCTGCTATTGGTTGGGTGTTGAAGCAGTTTTGATTAGCCAATGGCTGGGCAAAGCATTATTTTTTTTTTACTTTTTAGTGTGAAAGATTATGAATTTTTTGTAACATATTTTTTGAAATATTCATTTATGTTTTGTTTTTGATTGGCTAGGCATTCGCGCTCTTTTTTCCTATTGGCTGGTCACGTATCTATGGCACAAACTTCACAGCCTGCACAAACTAGGGACATTCTAGTTCAGGCACTATAGTTCAACTTTATGACCTTATCATATCGCCACGTATTTAAAATAAAAAAAGGAAAAAAAAACGAGAGAGAACAAACAAACACATTCTTTCTTTGGCCAGCCATAACAAAAATGATTATTATCTGCATCAAGAAGCATCCAAAGCGAATAAGCTTATAGACCCTATACTAGAAGAAGAAGAAACAATAATAGAATAATAAAAACAAGAACATTACTGACAAAAATTTAATACACGAGGGGATAGTTTCTTTGACAAGTGCATCATCTGAAAGTTGCTTTTATAACACGGCGTCCCACCAGTCATTGTACAGAAACACAATATACAGTGTCAGAGAGATGGAGCCAACAGTCCTAACATTTTTTTCTAGATCATATACCGACTCGCCCCTGTACTTCCGCGACAAAGCCAGGGACGCGACAAGAAACCCAGTAGGCAACAGAGCCTATGGAGGGATAGTGATGTTTTAAATACATTTTTTTCTTATTTTTCTTATATATATTTTTTATGTCCTGCGTTTTTTTTTGGTGGGGCTGTCAAACTAACCATCGTCTCCTGATAAACAGAGGGTTAAGTTCCACGTTAACCGTCCATTCCATACTGCATTATTGGTTTCCCTTACTATGACTGGCTTTCAGCAATGCCGTGAATTTACAAAAAGGAGAAAGGGGAGAAAGACGGACATAGAGTGAGTGAGAAAGAAAAAAATGGGACAAGGGGAGAAAATTTGGTTAAAAAAAGGATGAAGGGAAATTAAAAAAGAGTAAGTTAAGAGCTAACAATAAAAAGAGGAAAAGGTGTATTTACAAGGAAAAAGGATGAAAGAGGGAGAGGAAAGGGAGATAAAAAAGGAAGGGTAACATATCTCAGCCATGTAAGAAATAAAAATCATTGCTAAGTACATTTGATGAAAATAATCACTTCTATCCTCGTGAATTACAATATACCTAAAAAAAGATCAAATTCCAAATATCAAATATGCCTAAACCATAAACCTTACAGCAGATGAGCTCCAACATTGGGCGAGGAGCATGAACACTTATCACAAATGACTGATAAAAGATTTATACACCTAAATAAGTTTGGGGGGGGGGGTAGTCTAACACGAGACAAACCCTTAGTCATCGTCGGCAGTTAACTGTGATCTAGAGGGATGTAAATAATAAAAAAAAAAAAAAAAAAAAGGAAAAATAAATAAATATCACCTACAGTTAACAGAGTACAGCCTCAAGATGACTTTAATGACTCCTATAAGATATTATCACTTCATTCATATGTTTTCTCTAATTAATCTCTCTTAAAATTACTAATAAAAACCAACTCTTCAACCTGAGTCCATCGAATTCACAATTCAAAGTCAAATCGAGAGAACCAAAAGGAAAAGATCCAAATAAACACACAATAATACCTTCTCTCTGTAAAAAAAATCATTTTCATATATTTTTTTTCTTCTTCAGTAAATAAAAAGTCCTCTTTCTTTCTTTCAGGTCATTGTAAAAATTCATATAGCACCTAAACACCAGTACCACAATAAGCCTTTCCAAAAATCACCATATACAGTATAGATAGATGGTAGCACCAGGTTTTTTTTGTCCGTACTTGGGTAGTCAGGTATAATAAACGTCATTGTAGTGTGTGTGTGGCTGACAGATCTTCAGACGTGCGTTCATATATTCATATCAATATCATCTTGTGTGTGTGTGTGTTCATTTTCACACGAGATTGTCCAACACCTCTAGACACACACACGCTTATATATGTCCATTTATATAGGAAAAGGGGAAAGAGAGAAACAAGACGAAAGTGTGAAGAGCGAGCGAGATAAAAAAGAGAAATCGTAAAAAGCAGAGTTCCTTTTCTAACAAGTTGAAGACATATCAGTCACAGCCAAGGGGATAAAAGGTAATTTTACTACATTAAGCATTTCCTTGACTATATATAACAACAAACAGCGTTTACATCCTTAACCTGGGCGAAAAAAATATTATTCAAAAAATAAAAGAGATGAAGCTTTGTTGACAGGATCCTTCATCACCAATTGAGAACGGCGGGCACTTACATAAGGAACTTTTTGAACCATTACATCACCATTAAAATATCATATATATATATTTCAATCAGTAAAAAAATCAACAACTTTGCCATGTGCTTTCAATTCACAAAACTGAATAAACCTAAACGGAAAACAAACAAACAACATAAACATTTTTTTCTCTTCCAGTTTCACTAAACTAATCATGTTGCATCTGTTAGCTGAACATTAGAATATATATATATATATATATTTATTTATTCATATATTTACCTATATATATATTTACGCAGTTTTTTCTTCACTTAAAACAGGTACGTTTTATCTACGATAAAACACAATCGAATATTTTAAAACATTTCGGTAATCAACATCAGGAGTTTGTGTGTGAGTCGCGTTTTGGTTTGGGGTCGAGAGGTTGCGCATCCACCACGAAGAGTCGGATCCCGCAGGAGGAAGACGAGAACGCCCCGCGCCCTCGGAGGAGTCGAGGAGGAGTAGGAGTAGGAGGACGAGCATCCGAAGAGAGGTGAGAGACGGGACCTTCGAAGGACGACATCGGACAGGCGACCTTAGAAAGGCGGAGGCCCGTTGGGGTACCTGAGCATCGGGTCGAGGCTCCGGGCGAAGTTGTTGGCCATGTTGCAGGCGTAGTCGTCCTCAGAGGTGGGCACGAGCGACGCCACCCCGAGCATGAGCAACATCAGGGCCTGGATGGGGAGGGCAGCTCGCATCACACGCCCGAAGAACCTGTAGGAGCGTCTCACTACGCCTTCGTCGCCGCCCTCCGCGCCGTAGCCGTCACTAAGGGGAGGAAGGGGAGAGGGACATTGAGAATGCTGTTTTATTACCCTTATGTCCGAGGGGCCTGTGGCTTTTAATGCTTTAGATAATAGCGTGATCTTTCCTTGTCATTTCTAAAGTTTGATTACAGTTTATTAGCTCTTATCCTTCTTATTATACTTGGTGTGGCAGTTTACTTATGCATTCAGTGAACAGAATACGATACTTCAGCGAAAAAAATGAAGCAACTGAAGTCAAACAGAAAGTGAACCTGAAAATCTATCAATACAAAGAGAAAAATTGGAAAACTAAATCTACCAAAAAATCTACTGAACCAAAATGAGGAAGAATGCGCTAAGAACTCAAGAGAACCGAAGGTGCTCGACATGTTCCCACGGCCGAGTTGTACGTACTGCACATCGGAATGGAAGCTGGCAGTCAGGGAGCTGGGTGAAGTTGGCCGCGAGAAAGAGAACTCGGCAGACTCGTACAGCTGTAAATAAAAGACAGTGTGCATTTGAGGTGCTACGTGCAGTGGTGCAGTTTCCTACGGTCGGATTTCATGCAATTCTGACAATGATATAAAATGAACACATATGCCCAATTTCCGTGTTGGGGACGTCAGTTCAGCCCTACTCACCCCCGACGACGCCAGGGACGCCAGCGAGCTGGTAAAGTCCTGGCCCAGGAGCTGCGACAGCTGGGTAAGCTGTTGCGAGCACAGCTGGAGCAGCAGCTGCAGGCGGCGCGAGAGGAGCGCCAGGCGCTCGCGCACGGCCGCGCACTGGTCGTCCTGCTGCGTGGTGAGCAGGTGCTGCGCCGCCTCGTGCAGGGACGCGACGCGCGGCTCGCACCGCTCGACCTCAGCCCGCACGTCCAGAACGCGGCCAGCGCGCTCGCGCAGGGCGGCCTCCTCCGTCTCCTCCTCCGCCGCCATCTTGTGCAGGCTCTCCTCCGTGGTGTCCGTCCAGGCCAGCAGGTCCGAGATGGTGGAATGGAACTCGGCGTTGCCCATGAGCGCCGTCTGCAGCTTCGCCTGCCACACGGACGCCGCAGCGCACACGGCCTCCCAACGCTGGTTGGCCGCGGTGAGGCGGTCCCGCACGCGCGTGGCACGGCGCTCGTCGCGGGTGTGCTCGGCCAGGTGCTTGCCGATGATGTTCAGCGACATGATGACCGACTTGTGGCCGTCCAGGTCCATCAGGAACTCCTGCAACACGCAAAGAGTCACATCCCGCGCCGGCCGAAGGTGAAGCCGGTTATACTCAGCGATATCAACAGCAATGTCACACAATACTTACCTGATAAAAACCAAGGTCTGTATACTATTTAGACCTTGATAAAAAAAACTAGCCTGAGAAGAACACTAAGCCATGACTACGCCTTAAAGAACCTACGCTATTCCACCCACCAACCCGGCATCTGTACAGTGCAACCTACCCTGTGGTCCTGAGCGACCTCCTCTAGCTGCTCCATGGGCGTGGGCGGGCTGTGCTGCGTGGTCTGCGTGGCTTCGGCGTGGGTGAGCCATTGTTCTAGGCGCCACATGTCGTTCTCGAACTGCTGCCAATTGCGTCTGCAACACAGCGGGCACGTCAGGGAAGACGTCTCGCTGTAAGCAAACACATGCGCATGCGTGGTCAGCTACGGCTACTGCAGGATCCGCGTTGCTTACCAGGGTTACCTCACACCCAAGACTAGCGGCGGGGCGGAACTCGCCCGCCGCCTTCCTACGCTACGAGGGCTACGGGTCTACCATTTACAGTGTGTAAGTGTGTGTGTGTGTGTGTGTGTGTGTGTGTGTGTGTGTGTGTGTGTGTGTGTGTGTGTGTGTGTGTGTGTGTGTGTGTGTGTGTGTGTGTGTGTGTGTGTGCTCGCGCGCGCGCGTGGATACGCGTATGCGAATGCGCCAACGCGTTAACATATACATGTATGTATATACAAATCATAAATGCAAATACTGAGCTCGTCTTAAGAGGCTGTTTCAGTGAAGACGGAATCAGAATCGCCGTCTGGACTGGACCTCCTCTGTCAGGTGTTTCGTGTGTGGGAAATGCATCGTGCCGCGAACACGTCGATCGCTCCAACGCACAGACACTAAATACATTGATTTGGTCATGACAAGTCGGGGTAATTTAGCGGATGTGAAGTATCATAAAACACAATGGTAAATTGTGTAGATAATCCAATAAAGGTTTATCTAATCAAATAAACGCTTATGGTGAACTCTGTCATTTTTCTCAAACTTTAACCTACTACTTATATCCTAAATCACACAAAAATAGCAATGGGTATATAATATAATTCTTGCTTATATATTAAATCACTCTTATATACACACTAGCCAAAACATATATATCTACAAAATCACAACTACAAAGGAACAATTAGCTCCATTGTTCTAAATTCATGGAATTCGCTAGACATTGTCCAGCCTTATTTATAATAAATGACTAGCACACAGTCTATATCACAACTATGTTCTGTAACACACAAGACTACAATAATTATCACACAAAGACTACAAAAATGATCACACAGACTACAGAAATGATCACACAAAGTCTACAATCATCATTATCTATTTTTTTCTCTTACTACTTCATGCCATTAAACTCCTCATGAAAGCAGTTTCGATCAAACTGTAGGACACAAGCAAAGCCTTCAAGCTTGCTTTCAGCCACACAAAATAATCGGTTAAATGATTCTAGTTTCGATTTGTATGAGAAATGTAGGAAGGGGGAGTCAAGAACAAGTATCACAGTCCATGAGGTTATATAACGTAACAAAACAAAATAAAGGCAAAAGAGCATTTTTCATGAACTACAAGACATGAAAGAGCATCCTCAAGAGCACATATATTCATCAAAGTTAAAATGAGACAAGTATTAATGCATTGGTGAATACCACAGACATGATCGAGAATTAGATATCAGAAAAGAATATTACCTATTCTCCTTCAGCCTCTGTTGCTTGGCCTGGGAGAGGAGTTCGAGTTGGGTGAACTCCTCCAGGACGACCTCGATCTCCGGGTGCAGTTCCCTGGCTTCGGCGTCGTCGCCCGTGTGCTGCTTCAGGGAACTCAGGAGGTCCACGGAAGACCGGCATCCGGCCAATTGCTTGGACTGAGGGAACAGGAACGGTTGGGAGCCATGTTTATTTCATAATGAATTGCTATAGATACTGAGCATACTGCTGATGCGATGAGATCAATATTAAAAATAAATGTCCAATATTTCTTCTATTCGTAAGATATACACATTATGAAGGCTGGGAAGATTGTACTTACGAAGGAGTAATACGTCTTGTCGACCTCAGCTCCCTGCGGGGTGGGGCACTTGAGCGCTTCCTCCAACTGCCTCAGCAGTCTCTTGCTCTCCTCCAGCGCCGCCTTCATCTCCACCGCCAGAGACCTTCCGCCGACGGCTCCGATGAGCGAGACGTCCGTGGTGGTGAAGGTCGTCTCCAGATCGGTGTCAGCGGCCAGAGGAACCCGGTAATCGTCCTCGCCTTCAAGCTCCTGCTGGTCCCCGACCGGGCGCTCCTCGGACAGCCTGGTCGCAGTGGCGTTGGTGATCTGGGTGGTAATCTCCACGTCGATAGCGTCCTGCAGGCTCAAGAGGCGTCTGTGTAGGTGTTTCCTGATGATCCAGTACTCCTCGAGGCTCTCCTCGATCATCAGACAGTCTGTGTAGCAACTTCGCTGGTAGAGGTACGAGATCATGGCATCGAAGTTCCTGAGGTCCTCCTCATGCCTCTCGTACTCGGCCACGAGCTCCAGCAGGGACTTCTTCTTTTGTTCGAGGTCAGAGTGCATCTGGTTGTCGTATTCGGACACCTTGAGGTCGAAGTCGTTCAGCCAGCCCAGGAGGCTCTCTCTCGTGCTGATGAACTCTTCGTAGATCCTGCCGCTGTACCTCAACCGCCGCAGGATGACGGTGATGTGGTAGTTGAGAGTATGGAACCTGGCATTCGAGGTCTTGACCTTCGTGCGGATCTCGTTCTGCTGGTCAAGCCTGTTCTCCCTGCCGTAAGGGCGCGCCAAGACACGGTACTTTTGGTTGAGCTGTTCGTACTGCAGCGTCTGGTCGTGGATGAGCGGCTGCAGCTCGTGTACCTGGGCGATTCGCTCCTCCAGGCTGGCGTAGGTCACTATCGTCGAGGAGGCAGTGATGCTGCTCATCCTTGACTCCATGCTGGTCAGCCACGTCTCAAAGGCGGTGTTCACAGCTATCAGCTCCTGCCACATTTTCCAAGTCTTCTGAATGAATACTTTCCTCTCAGCAGATCGGCTACAAATATCGCCCCATCTTCTCTCCAGATTATGGTGGGCTTCCTGCAGCGAGTCGGTGTCGCCATTGGCGTCAAACTCGGTGCAGTCGCGAATGACCATATCGCAGAGATTCAGGACGGAGGATATCGTTCCGCTCTGCTTCTCAATCTCCTTGCGCACCTCCTCCTCCGCCTCGAGTAGGCGGTCGATTTCCTTCTTGGAGCTGTTCTGGAACACCACGGGACTTGAGAGCTTCTTCTCGATTAGGAAGAGCCACTCCTTCAACTCGGCGAGAGTGACTTCAGCCTTGTTGATGGTCGTGACGATGTCCTGCAGCTTCTGCTTCCTATTGGTGCACTTGTCATGAATGTGCTTCCAGGTGGCCTCGATGTTCTGCATCTTGTTCTTGAGGTCTGAGGCCTGGTCCTCGGTGCTGCAGGAGAGGAGCTCCTCGCCCTCCGAGATCAACCACAACTTCTCGATGCTCTTCGTGTTTATGTCCTCCTGGTAGTCGTGTTCAAGCTTTCTGATAAGGGTGTCGATGTACTGCTCGGAACCGCCGTCGATCTTGGCCTCCATGTCCTTGGCCCATGCGAGGAACTGCTGGTACCGGGTGTCGTACAGCTGCCACAGCTCCAGCTTGTCCTCCAGGGTGCTGATCCTCAGCCTGTACTGGTGGAGTAGCTCGGCCTGCAGCTGCGTCACCCTCCACATGCGCTGGGTGACCAGGCGGAGGTCAGACGGGGTCAGGGAATCCACCATTTCCTCTCTCGTGGTCCTGAGCAGCGACAGGTCGCCACTGAGGGCCTCGAGGGATGCTGTTGTCTCGTTGTATTTCTTGATGGTTTCCTGCACACTGCTGAAGTCCGAGGGCAGATCGGCCGACAGGCCAGCCTGCATCTCACTCAAGATGGTGTGCAGTTTGGCATAGTTCTCCTCGTAGCGCCGCCACAGGTCCGAGCTGCGGCTCAGGTAGCCGAGCCAGGTTTCCACGCCAGCTCGCATGTTGGTGACGCGCTGCTGCAAGGATGCCAGCTCGGCCTTGAGGATCGAGTGGATGCTGGGGTCGCAGGACGCCACCAGCTGCTGGCACAGCTTGGCCACGTCCTCTACCTGCTCCTCGCCACGGGTCAGCTGCTCAAGCAAAGACTGCAGGCGACTGATGACCTTGTCGAGACGTCGCCGGGCAACCTGGCGCAGCTGCAGGCCCTGCTTTTCCTGCTCGAGGGCGAGGATCCAGGTCTGCAGCTGAGCCACCTTGACCCGGTACGTCTCCCAGGTGGTGATGGTCCTCAGGAGCACCTGCTCGCGTTCCGTTACGGTGGTCAGGACAGTCTTGTGGCGCAGGATGAGCTCTCGCAGGCGGCCCTGTAGATCCTTGATCCTGGGTGGCGCGTCCTCCTGCTGCGCCTGATCCTGCAGCGTGGTGAGCACGTTGGTCTGCGTGGTGAGGATAGAGCGGTGCACCTGGCACAAGCGGGAGGCCTCGTGCAGGCCCTCGCGCGAGGCCGGCGCCGGCGCCGACATCTCGGCCTCCACACTCTCCACGTACTGGCGCCAGGTGGTGAGCGCGGCCGCCAGCTGCTCGTCGTCGCCCCCAAGACCCGCCACCACCTGTTCGTAGCGCGTGTGCGTGTCGCGCACGGCCGTCTGCCAGGCTTTGACCACCTGTGTGGGCCCTGCCTCCAGCATGGGCCCGCCCGACGTGCCCAGCGCGACCAGCTGGTCCTTCAGCTGGGTGGCGCGCACGGCAGCCTCATCGACGGGCGGTTCAGGCAGCGCCAGCAGTGTGTTTGCACCGTTGATGCCCTCCTCTAGCTGCTTGAGGGCCTGCTCCTGCTTCTGCTGCTGCTCTTGGTCCGCCTGCAGGCTTAGGTTGTTGCTGAGCTGCGTGATGGCCTCCGTCAGGTTGGTGATTCTGAAGCCGAGGCGCTCGACCTCAGCCACGAGCGGGGTGTCGCGAGCGGCGTCCTCTGCCACGTGCAGCTGGATCTGTCGTGCCAGCTGCCGCAGCTCCGTCACGCGCTCGCCCGACCACGCCGCCTCTCCCACCAGCACCTGCACAGAAAAGGGGCGGCGGTGAAAAAACAGATAGACGGGAAAAGGTCGATTGTGTCGAATGAGCAGGTGTCGAGCAGAGATTACCTGATTTAATAACGATAAAAATAATGATGCAACGCCTTATCCTTTAAAATAGGAGAGACATAACAGATATATAGACTAGTGATAACATTACAGTGTGGACACGCGCGTGAGTGTCTATGCATGTGCGCGTGCGCGTGTATATGTTTGTGTGTATGCGCGCGTGTGTGTTTGTGCGTGTACGTATGTTTGTGTTTGTGTGTATTTAGTTAATGTCTGTAAGTGTTCATAAATAGCAGCAGCAACAGATGTTCGTCTTCACATACCCCCCCCCCCAAACCGGAAGATAAAAAGATAAGAAAGGAGATTTACATGAAGGATTTGTCGCCGGCATGAGCATGATTCGCCGCCCTTTCATCTTTTTTTTTCTTATCACTATCTTATCGTATCTTAATCGCTTTTATTTACTTCTTATTTATCTTATCGTATCTTAATCGCTCTTATTTGCATAAAAAATATAACACCATCAAGAAAAAAGACAAAAAATATAACACTATCAAGAAAAAACACAGAAAAATATAACACCATCAAGAAAAAAGACAGAAAAAATATAACACCATCGAGAACAATGACGATGATAAAGACAACAATCATAGAGAAAATAATAACAAAAGAATAGCCTTGAGGTGAGGAGGGGAAGGAGGAGGCTGAAGGATCGTAGGATGGCTTTTGTTTGGCGATCTGAAGGAGACCCGAGGAATTGAAGGGCTGAAGTGGCTGTAATAAATATGAAAGAGAGGGAGAGAGGGAGAGGGGATAGTGGGAGGGAGAGATGAAGAGAGAGAAAGAGGGAGAGAGAGAGGAGGGAGAGGGGGGGGAGATGGAGAGAAAAAGGAGGGAGAGGAGGGAGGGAGGGAGGGAGGGAGGGAGGGAGGGAGGAGGGAGGGAGAGAGAGAGGAGAGAGAGAGAGAGAGAGAGAGAGAGAGAGAGAGAGAGAGAGAGAGAGAGAGAGAGAGAGAGAGAGAGAGAGAGAGATGGAGAGAGAGAAGGAGGGAGAGGGAGAGAGAGAGAAACAGGTACACAGGAACAACAATTACAACAAAAAGAAGATAAAAATAGCTACACGTCACGCCCTATTCAATGAACACAAAGAAAACACACACTAGGAAGTGCGACAAGAGGAGAGATGAGGAGGAGTAGGAGGAGAAGGAGTAAGAATAGGAGGAGGAGGAAGAAGAGGAGAAGGATAAGGAGGAGTAGGAAGAGGAGCAAAGGAAGGAGGAGGACAAGGAGGTGGAAAAGAGGGAGGAATTACAAGGTGAAGATGGAAGAAGGCGAGAGCGAGAACGAATAAAAATAAAAAGCAAGACATAAAAAGGAAGAAGAAAAATGGGAGAGGGCGAGAGATCACGCGGAGTAGGAGCCAAGTAAAATAAATAAATAAAGAAAGAAAGGAAGAAAAAGAAAGAAGGCGGACAGTAATAAGGAAGAGAAGGAGGAAGAGGGCGGGACCACCAGCAAGCGGAAGCACAAGAGAATTTAGGAAGAAAATTAGAAAGAAAAACAACGCGACGGGAGAGAGACGAAGCGGGACGTGACGTCATACACCGAAAGAGGAAAAAGCGAGTCCGAGGGAAGAAGAAAAGAGAAGAATAAAAGAAGAGGAAAATGCACATAAGGGAGATAAAGAGAATTAAAGAAAAGAAGAAAAGACGAGAATGTAATTAGGCACATACATATAAACATACGAAAAGGGATAATACTTTCGGGAGCGTAAATCCGACTTAGAATGAAGGGGAGAGAAAGTGGGGATAAGAAGGGGAGGGAAAGGGGGGAGGAGGGGATACACAGAGAGGGACTGCAAGCGGAAGAGAATGTAGAAGGAATGTATGGGAGGGGGAAGAAAGGAGAGGGGGAGGAGGGAGGATGGGATAGACGGGGAGGAAGGAGAGGGGGTGGAAAGGGAAGAGAGGGAAGAAGGGAGGGAGGAAGGGGTAGGAAGGGAAAGGGAGAGGAAGGAAGGAAGGAAAGGAGAGGGGGAGGGGGTGGAAAGGGAGAGGAGGGAGGAAGGGAGAGGAGGGGGAGGGGGAAAAGGGGGGGGGAGAAGAGGGGGGAGGGAGAGAGAGAACAGGGAACGGGGACTCAACTCATACAGTGCTTACGACACGTGAAGCCTTAATAAACTCTCGGGCCAAATTACAGTGATCCGCGTCCGCCTAATCCTAAATCCCTGCCACAGCGACTCGCGTGAGAGATCGCGGAGACTATTATCCTCTTCTGTCGGGAATTTATGAGGTAACTGATACTTTGCGAATGATATCACCGACTTGCGACATAATGCTGTGACTCTTAAGCATTTACTATCATGGATTTACGACCGAGGTAAGTCACTTTTTTTTCTTTTTCTTTTTTTGGTTATTTTCTATATATATATTCTGCATATCATCAATGTAAAGTTCCGAATCAGTGTTAATGATAATCTTTGTGTACATAAGCATGACGATTTATACTTATCACGTCTTCACTTACGTATGTTATAGAACGTTAAAAGAATAATTATCATCGACATAACACCCTGCCCTCTTCTCCATCTTCATCTTCCTCCCCCTCTTCCTCTCCTCCTCCTCCTTCTGCTTCTTCCTCATACCATCACAATCATCCCCGTTATTACCATTATCCCTATCATCATTTTCCCACCGAAATTCGCAACACCGCTCATCTTTGACAAAGTGGCTGACGAAGAAGCCCGAAAAGTGTGCCAAAGTGCTGTTCTCAAGTGCCAGGCTCCCAGGCACCGGAAGCCAAAGCACAGAGGTCAGGCCGAGTCTATTGATCTCCGATAAATTGTGTTAAATATGCAGCGGACACTCTGAATGTCAGCGGGGGGTGGGGTGGGGTGGGGTGGGGTGGGGGTAGGGAAGGAGGGAGGGAAGAAGGGGGGAGAAGGCAAGGGGAAGGGAGGGGAGGGAAGAGGTGGAGAGGCCAGGGAGGGGGGGAGGGAAGGGGGAAGGGAGGGAAGAAGGGTAGGAAAAGCCAGGGAAGGGTAGGGGAGGGAGGCATGAAGGGGTGGGAGAGGCAGGGGAAGGGGAGAGGGAAGAAGGAGAGGAGGGAGGTGGGAGAGGAAAGGGGAAGGGAGGAGGGAGGGAAGAAGGGGTGGGAAAGGCCAGGGAAGGGAGGAGGGAGGGAAGAAGGGGTGGGAAAGGCCGGGGAAGGGGGGAGGGAGAGATGACTGTCTCCTTGATCTTGTGATACACTGGGAAATGAAAGGAGAGAAAAAGAAAGAGAAGATAAAAAAAAGAAGGAAAACAACAGATACATAGAAGTATCATCACACACACACACACACACACACACACACACACACACACACACACACACACACACACACTGCAATAAATTCATCACCTCCTCATTCCCATGATTTTCCTTTCTAAAAGATAGGTGTTACGTACGAACGAGAGAGAAAAAAAGACAATAAACATTCCAAAGGCCAAGGTAAATATAAAGATTACGATAGCGATTGCCTTGCGTGGATAACCATCATCCCTCATCCTTTATCCCTCCCCTCCCCCACCCCATTCTCTCGCCCCCTCCTGCCACCCATTCCCTCCCCCCTCCCCTCCCTCCCCAATCCCTCATCCCTCCAATAAATACGTTATTGAAGTCATATGGGCGTCTAAACCATCATCCACGTGGTTTATTTTACGACTCTTTCTGTTGGGGTTTGACGAATGGGAGGGTGGATGAGAGGAGAGGAGAGGGAGAAGGAGGAAGACGTAGGAGAGGAGAAGAGAGCAGGGAGAAGGGAGAAGGGAGAGGAAAGAGAGGAGAGAGAGAGAGAGAGAGAGAGAGAGAGAGAGAGAGAGAGAGAGAGAGAGAGAGAGAGAGAGAGAGAGAGAGAGAGAGAGAGAGAGAAGAGAGAGAGGAAAGAAAACCCCACTAAGAAACAAACACCGATAACAACAGCCCCTAACTAAAAATAGCTAAGATACCTCTCCGCCCACCCCTCCCCTCCCTTCCCCTTCTCTTCCTCAATGTCCTCCTTCGCAACCCCTCCTACTGGGCCCAACCCCCACCCCCCTTCCTCCTTTCCTCGCCCTGACACCAACACTTCCTAAGAATGAGTCGTCTTTATTTATGTGACAGTCCTCATCCTCCCCCTTCCCCCTCCCCCCCGCCTTCTGCCTCATCCTAATCCCCCCCCTTTCCTCCATCTTCCCACCCCCTGCCTCATCCTAATCCCACCTCCCCCCCACACCCTCATCTCCCCCCCCAACACACACCCTCCTCCCCCTCCCCTCCCCTCCCCCATCCCCCCCACCTCCATTTTCCATCCGACCCCCCTCTCCTATCCCTTCGTCCCGGTTTTCTCTATTTCTATCTTTTCTATTCCCTTTTCGTCTATCTCCAGTGATGGATATTCGCCGAGATGTTTGAATGTGGAGTAAAGAGACAGAGCAATAAATACATAGGAAGAAAGGATGGAAGAAAGGAGAGAGAGGAAGAGAAGGAGAAAAAAAAGAAAGAGAGAAGGAGAAGGGAGAAGAAGATGGAAGGAGAGAAAGAGAAAGAGAGAGGCAGAACCAGAGAATCAAAACAAACAAACAAAACTAACGCCAGCCTGATCCACGCTGTACGTAATCACTACACCACACACACACACACACAACACACACACACACACACACACACACACGTGTTAATCCCACAGCTCAACCTCGTGCGGCGAGAACCAGGGAGGGGGAGGAGAAGGGGAGGAGAAGGGAATAGGGGATAGGAAAGGCGGGGGAGAGAAAAGGGGGAAGAAGGAAAGGGAGAAAGGGGGGGGGGATGTAGAGGGAGTAGGGTTAGACGGATGAGGGCAGGGAGGAGAAGGGGGGAGGGGTAAAGCGGCAGGGTAGGAGGAGAGGGGACGGGGATGAGGTAAGAGGAAGGGAGGGGAGGGAGGGAGGGAGGGAGAGGGGGGGGAGGGGGTT